CAGTTTGAAAATCTTTAATTTGCTATCTTGTTTGTAATTGTTACTTTCCCCTATGTTCATAGAATCATGGTTATGGAAATATGGGTTAGCCTTATATTCTCTTTCTATAGACTGAATAGGAACTGTAATTCAAATAACAAAACTTTTAGTAGGACAAATTATAAAATGAAATAAGAGAAAATGAAGTAGTAGAATAATTTCTTCCTGCTTATACACTACTGCATTCTCTATGTGCTTCTTTGCTGCCGCTACCTCTGCAGGGAAGTGCCCCACCCCATTACAATATTCCACACTGGAAAAATGAATATTTCCTGGAGAGCACAGTACTAAGTAGTATCTAATAAATAATGAAGAAATACTGATTTTATAATTACATTAAATTCCTAGGATGACATTATACCTGGAACACCTCACAGTTGCATCACTTCCTCTGCCTCTGAAGCTTACTTTTGCTGCTTTTCCTTATGGGATTTCTTCCTTAAATGTAGTCTGTTTACTCTTTTGTGACATTGCCTCTGCTCACACTGCTTGGGGGGGAGTGTGTGGGTAGGTGTTGATGAATACATTTGTAGCTCTTTTAGTGAGGCCCTCTTTGGATCTAGAAGGCCCACAGAAAGATTTCTTGAGCTCCCAAGACCTTTTTTTTCTAGTTACATTTTACTGCTCCCCCTCTTTTCCCTTACTTTTCTCTGAGTGCCCCTCCTCCCTGACCCCAGTCCTTTACCCTGTCTTGCCCCTGGGACATGAAAATAAACCTTGAAGCTTGGATAAGAAGACACTCAGCCACTTTGGAGCTGGCAGAGTCTGTCTTGCATTGCTGTAGCTGTGGCAAAGGTCTCTGGACGTTTTACATATAGATTGTTCCAGTCGTAGCACTTAAATTAAATCCATAGGATCAGAAAAAGGGGTTGAATGATGTTAAGGGATCTTTCATTCTAGCTATTGAGAGAACATGAATTATCCCCCCTTCTTCTATATTGTGCACTTTACTAGTAAGTAGGTATTGAGTCCATCTGATAGAACTTCTTTCTTTCATGGACAGTGCTGGGTGAACTAATATCAATTCTCATTCTCAGTTTTTCTTTTTAAAAAAATTCTAATCAGCCTTTAAATAGGCTTCTGTCATAACCACAGAGATTAGTAGTATAGGTAATTTCGTATTAGTGTTTAGTTCATTTTATGTAAGTATTAAAGTAATTCCCTATGTTGAGGTCTCATGATGGATTGGTATTGTCCCTGGATTTTCAAAGCTCTGCCAACATAGTATAAGTTTGGGCAGGTTTTGTCAAGCATTGAAGGCTTCAGATATAGGTCAAATGACGGACATGTCAAACCAAGGACCAGCCTAGTTGAATTTGGAGATACTGTTTCCTGAGGTTTAGCCATCAGATTATATATTTTTTTCATCTATAGAAATTTATGAAGGCTTCTACTAAAGTGTTAAGGGGTTGTAGTAGTAGGGAAGAATATCCACACTGATTTATATATCCTCGAAGCATGTAATATATTTGTAAAAGAATCTATAATATCTCCATGTATGTCTTCCTTTTGAATTTTTAGGAGCAACTCTAGGTTCCTTAAAGTAATTTTGAAAACATCCTATCTAAGCAACATTTTTATACTTTATCATTTCGATGGATTGTTTCCAAGAGAAATATCTGCAGATTTATGAATATTATATATTTAGGTTGATTCTGGTTAATCTTTTTCAGAGCCTGACATTTTTTCACCTTTTCTCCTATGCTGGAGTTCTTTTTTATTTGTTTCCCATGGGCTTTTTAAATATTGATTGTTGTAGTGAATTTTTCCTCAGAGATAACAATTTGCCCCAGGCTTTTTACCTCTGAATTATAGAATATTGTTCTAATTTCTCTCTTTGCCGCTAGCCTTTCCCTGTTCTAATCTATTTAGTGTAACGTTGTTTCTAAGTTGTTTTTTCAGTCATGTCGGACTCTTCATGATCCCTTTTGGAATTTTCTTGGCAGAGATACTGTAGTAGTGTGCCATTTCTTTCTCCAGCTCATTTTACAGATGAGGAACCCAGTCAGGGTTAAATGACGTGCGCAGGGTCACACAGCTAATAAGTGTCTGAGTCTTGAATTCCACTGTGTCACCTAACTGTTGCCATCTAAAGCATAATACTATAATACGAAATAGAGTATCTAGTATAATACTGGCAGACTGTTCTCTATGTATATGACTTCTAACATGTGATTTTACTGTTTTGGAACCTTTTACTAACTTTCTGTGCTTATTTGATGAAACTATTCACATTGAAGGCCTAACATAATCTGTCCCTACCCTTACTGTGTATTCAGCCTTTAATTATTGGTGTTAAAATATGTCTGCAAAATTTTTTTGTAAACCATAAAATTTCAATGGCAATTTTTATTGTTATTATTATTATTACTGCTTTTTATACAACATCAACACCTCTTGAGTTCAGGTTCTCATCACCTTTCTACTAGACTATTGTAATAGCTTCTTAGTTGTTCCCTCTGCACCCATCTTCTCACCTTTCTAGTCCACTCTATCCAGAACCAGATTGATATTACAAAAGCACACAAGTCTAACTGTGTTTCTCCTCTGCTCAAGAAGCTCCAGTGGTTACCTTTACTTCTAGGATAAGATTAAAAATAACCCTGACTTTTAAAGTTCATCAAAATCTGGCTTCTATCAACTTTCCCAGACTAAACTCACATTTTTTTGCCTTTAGATACTAAGTGGTCCAGTCACAGTGGCCTTCTAGCTATTTCTCCCAAAGGACATTCCATCTCCTATTTCTATGCCTTTTGCATAGGTTGTCCATTTTTCCAGTTGTTATTCTTTCTTATTCCTGCCCAAATCCTTCTCATACTGAAAGGCCCAAGTTATACCTACCTCCACCATGAATATTTCTTAGACATTTCTGTACCATATTGAGCCTTTTCTCCTCTCATTACCTATTATCAATAAATCAATCAGTATGCATTTATTAAGCACATACTCTGTGCCATGCATTGTTCTAAGCTTTGGTGATACAAAATAATCTTTGCCCTCAAAGAGGCTGCATTCTGTTGAGGCAAACAGATCGGTAAGTACAAAATAGATGCAAGGTGATTGGGAGCACTGTCAGTGGAGAGCAGGAAAGGCTTTATGTAGAAAGTGGTGCTTGAGCCTAGCCTTGAAGAAATGAGCAAATCTGAGAGGCATAAATGAACAATAGGACTTTTCAGGCAAGAAGAGCATCCATTGAAGAGGCTTAGAGATGCCATATGGAATGCTGTGTATAAGGAAAAATAGGGCAGCCAGTTTGACTGAGCCCTAGAATCCTTGAAGGTGAGTAGTATATACTAAGACTGGAAAAGTAGGTTGAAGGCCGATTGTGAAAAGCATTTAAAATGCCAGGCAGAATATATTTGATTCTCAAGGTAATAGGGAAGTAACATGGTCAGACTTGTGTTTTAGAAATATCACTTGAACATCTGTGTAGAGGATGGATTGGAGTGGAGTGAGACTTGAGACAGGGAATTAAGTTTTAGAACCTTATGGCATTTTAATAGTCCCTCAACTGGGGTGGTTGCTGTATGAGTGGAGAGAAGAGGACAAATGTGAGAGATTGAGGAGAGAGAAGTGAGAAGATTTAGTAACTGATTGGATATGTGGGGTGAATGAGAATGAGGTATGACACGGAGATTGTGGACCTGGGTGTCTGGAAGGGTGTTGATAGAAATAGGGAAGTTTTGGTGACAGGTAACGGTTTTGGGGGAAAGAGGATGTGTTCTCTTTTGAACATGTGGAGGTTGAAATAGCCATGGGAGACCTAGTTCAAAATGTTCGCTGGGGCAGTTGGTGTTGTGAGACTGATACTCATCAAATGAGAGCATATAGAAAGAGAATAGGAGAGGTCCTGAAATAGAGCCTTGAAGTACACTCACAATTAGGTGGTAGAATCTGTCCCTGTTTCTTACTTGCATAGTATCCATTATCTTAGTTCAGAATCTTGTCGTTGAGTCTCTAAGACTATTGGTTTTCCAGCTCTTTGTGTCTTTTCTCTCTCCTTACCTCCACATGACTGCCAAAATGATACTCCTACAACACAGGTTGTGACCATATCACCTCAATAGCTTGTTCACAAGCTCCATTGGATCTCTGGGCCTTCTAGGAGAGATACAGACTCCTCTTTTTGGCATTCATATGCCTTTATAGCCTATCTCCAACTTATCTTTCAAAACTTATTTTAAATTACTCTCCTTCATGCATTCTTCAGCCCAGCTTGACTGGCTTTCTGATGTGACATTGCCTGCTTTTGTCCCCCATTCCTGGGAACTCTGCTCAAGTGCCACCTCCTACACGAAGCCTTTCCTGAAGCAATGATATCTCTACCACCCTCCACCAGTTATTTTGTATGTACTCAAATACTTACATGTTTCTTATTATGGAAAGAAAGCTCTTTGAGGGCAGGCACTGTTTCATCTTGTCTTTGTATCCCTTGTACTTAGCACTTAGTAGGTGTTTATTATTGATTGATTACTATTCATAGTGCATTATGAAATATTGATCTAAACAGACATGATTTCCCATATAGCTATTCTGTTGTCCCTTCATTTTTTTCTGTCTCCTTGGCCCACACATTTCTGTCTTCTCTCTTCTTCTTTTGTGCTTCTTTTAATCTTTACCCCCCTCATCATATTTCTACCTGTCTCTAACTGGGTCCTACTTTGCTACTTGTTATGGTTAGTCTGTGCTTGTTTTCTTTCTCATATTCATTTCTAGATCTCTCCATGTGCTCTCTGGGTTTTTTGGCTCTCAAAGTCATTTTGCTAACAGTGCATGTATGTTTTAATGTCTAGGAATTTTTGAGTCTCTTGCTAATGGGTTGCGTCTGTAGTCTAGTGGAAGAATTGAAAAGAGCATGAGATGGTTGGAATAGCCTGATGGCTATATGTATAAAGATTTAAGTTGTTTTTAGGAAGTCAGCTTCTGATCAAGCCGTTTTTTCCTCCTTGCTTGTCTCCCAGGGAAGAAGAGGAACGTCTGAGAAATAAAATTCGTGCTGATCATGAACGAGCTCTGGAAGAGGCAAAAGAGAAACTGAAGAAGTCTAGAGAGACAATACAAGCAGAGATTGAAACAGAAAAAAATAAGGTAGCCCAGGAGATAAAGAAGAAAGAAACCAAGCCACTGCCACCAGTCCCTTTACCAAACCTTATAGGAATAAACGGTGGAGAACCAGAAGATGAAGACACCAGAGAAAAGAGGGAAAAAATTAAGGAGGTAAGGAGTTTGAAATTTATGCTGGGGAGTTGGTTGGGATATGTGTTTTGTACATTTTTGGATCAGTACTGTTTATGGCTTTGTATGGTATGACCTTTTTTGGAGGGAAGCCTCTAAGTTCTTCATTAGTCTTATTTTTATCTTTATTTTTTTCATTTGTGGGTAATTGTAAGTAGGATTGTTTCTTTTAATATTAATAGTAATGTGAAATGTGGATATTCTGTGTTTTTATTGCTATTGTGGTTGTGAGAGTCAGGTAAGGGTTAAATTTTCACAGAGAAAGAGAATAATGCAGAGATTTAAAAAACAATTCCAGGAAGTAGTACACTGGGCTCGGGCTTTACCAATACAAAGTAAGTTGATGGCTCCAAAAAGACTCCAAATTCAAGATAAGGGTCAAGTCAGCTCAGACCAGTTAGCGTCAACCTGAGGACACCTGAAAAATGTTGGTGCGCCTGCTTAATGAACTTCATTACTATTATCTGACACACCCCGCATAAAATTAGAGCCTCATTAACGAGTCATGGGATGTATGACCAAGAGCGGGGGAACATACTTGAGCATATCAAGGAGAAACATGTAAGGAGGGATGTAACCCAGGAAGGGATGGACCGATCCGAGCCTGGGAGGTTTCGTGCCGAATTTGAATGTATAACTTGCACTCAGGGCCCATCCCTCCTGAAGAGGGGTGGAGCCCGCTTCTGGCCAGAAACGTCTAATCCTCTGGACTGTCTCTGTAATAAACTTTCTTGATACTAGGTTTTAGGTGTTAAGCGTATTTCTAACATGGTCATTCTCATTAGTAACTTGTCTTATGTCACTGTGTCATTCAGAAAATTTGTCATGTTTAGTGACTAATTGACTATATCTAAAATTCATTTCTTGTCAGTTATTTAGGTATTTTTAAAATATTTAATAGTATATGACTTGAAGATACTATATAAAGTGATTTCATCTAGGGGAGTATAATCTAAAAACATTTATCTACCTAACTTCTCTTCTGTTGCTTCATTTTGTTGTGGGGTGACCCTGGTTTCGTAAACACAATGGAACACAAGCCCTAGCAATTCCTATCAAGGTGGAAAGGCTGGGAATATAAATTTCTCCTTTCTGATGACCACCTTAACTAAATTCAGATAAGCTTGTACCCACTTAGGGTATAAGATGATACATTTTTTGTCCACAATTACTCTGAAAGAATGTCTACCAATTTATAGAGAATTTATAGAGTAGTTGAAGGCTGTAGTGGTGGAAAGAGTACTAACATTGATAATATCATGTATCTTCGACACGTGCACGTGCATGCTGTCTCTCTCTCTCTCTCTCTCTCTCTCTCTCTCTCTCTCTCTCTTTCTCTTTCTCTTTCTCTCTCTCTCCCTCTCCCTCCCTCCATATTTTTTGTCAGTCAAGTCAGTAAGCATTTCTGAAGTACTTCGAATGTGCCAAGCACTGTACTGATTATAAAAAGAAGTGCAAAAACAAGCCTAGTAATAATAGTAATAACAACAAATAATATATAGCACTTTATATGCGGCAGTCTGTCCAGGGTACTGGAGGCGACTGGGTTTTATGATCAAGCCACATTCTCAGCAAGAGGAGCTGAAAACATTTAGCCCACCTCATTTAAATGCCTAGCCCATCATTTTAATTGTTAACCAGTCAGGGTTGATTTTTTACCTGGCAGGGCACCTACTTTTCTAAAAGTATATTAAAGCATTCAGTATTAACATTAGGGGTATTTTGGTTACTGAGAGAAACCACTGATCATCAGTGTATTGATTATTATTTAACCTAATTAATGAATTGACTAATTACCCAGAAACTCTGCCTCTCACATTTTTCATTTATATCACAGATTTGTAGTTGGAAAAGGGAAGAATATTTTAATAGATGAATAATGTCTTAGTATTAATATGAAAATAGTCTTTACCTTACTGAAAAGGGTCCATGGACCACATTTTGAGAACTCTTGATCTGGAGAATGCCGTCATTCAATGTCAGATATATGTTGTTTTCTTTTATCTCCCCCATATTTTGTGTATCAGATCCGTATTAGCTGTTCTTTTCAAGATGGAGACATTGTGCTTGGTAGAGGAAAAAAAACCCCACAGAATAAGAGTCCAATAGCTTCAGCTTCCCTGTAGCATTTCCGTGTAGCAGTGGTCTTATATTCCCTTTTAGCTATTTACATTTTTTCCATTATAGCGGAAAATCAAAACAAAACAACTCCAAGTTCTTTTGATCTTTGGTGTTCTTATGAACATATCCTAAATATGGCCTATCCTGATCTTGTCCCTACCTTTGGTGTATGTTGAACTACTGCCTTCTTTCCTAGTAATTACTTTGTATTTATTTAGTATGTATCTAGTAGATAACTTGTATTTAATATATTGTCTCCCCCTGTGGAATGTAAGCACCTTGAGAACGGATTATGTCTTTGTTTCCTCAGTGTCTGGCCTGTGTCTTGTGATATAGTGGTTTCTTAACAAAATTTTTGTTTCATTGATTAGTTGATTGGGAGCTACATTTTCTTGCTTCAGTCTTCTGTACCTGTCATGTAAAATTGTAAGTTTACAAGTGTAAGTTGATCGGTCCCTGTGTTTCCACATTGTTCTTTTTAGACATCTTCCAGTTTTCTTTCTCATCAGAATTGTTTATCATTGTCATTATATCTTCAGAAGCTCATTCTTGTGAGATTCTATCTTTTCTGGGACAACTTGCCTATGGTAGGTGCTTAACTCATGTTTTCTTAATTGTATAGATAACTAGATGGTGCAGTCAATAGAGAGTTGTCTTTGGAGTCAAGAAGACCTGACTGACTCAGCCAGTCAGTAAGCACCTACTAAGTGTCCGGCCTTGTATTGCTTACTGGAGATGTAAAAATAAGAGTGAAGAGCCACAGCCATCGAGGAGTTCACACTCTTGGGGAAACATCATGTACTTGAAGTCAGAAGACCCAGCTAAAAGTGCGGCCTGTGTGACTCTTGAGTAAATCACTGCTTCTGTGAATCCCAATTTGCTTTTCCATAAATCTCTACAGGGTTAAATTAGAAGATGCCCAAACATCCCTTCTAGCTCTAATCCTATGATGTTATTACTTCTACACAGTTGACACTTAATTTGTGTACTATCTAGCATTCTTTGCATGCAGTCCCCTGTGTGTTTTTAGTCCTATTTTAGGGACCTGTTCATTTATTCAGTCTGTGGAGACTAGAAGCTAGAGTGGTGATTTGAAAAAAGTGCTGGCCTTGGAGTGAGTTCTTGTCAGTTACTTTGCTATTAGCCAACTGTGTCACCTTCTATTAATCACTTATCCATCTAGGTTTCAATTTCCTCATATCTAAGATGAAGAGTTTGGATGAAGTGACGCAAAGTCTGCCTCTTCCAGTATTAAGACACAGTGACTGTTGGATGACAGAACTTAGCATCATGTATGAACTTCCTGTCAGCTCCTAAAGTTTGTAATTGTGAGTTGGCTAATATAGTATTATTTGTTGGTGTTTTGTCATAATTACCAACAAAATTCATTGACCATCTGGTTTTTGTAAATATTTTGCTAGGTATCAGCTTTGAAGGAGTGTTCTCATGATGTGCTGTACATCTATGTACTTGATTTTTTTCTTTATCTTTTTTTTTTTTTAATTGGTGATTTGGATGAAGACGCCAGAGTCATGCTCTTCAGATTTGGAGCTAAAATGAAGCTGAGAGGGATTTCCAATATGTTGGTGACAATTGAGGTCTAAAAAGTCATTACAGGCATGAATAATGAATTAAAAAAGATGAAATATAAAAGACCTAGGGGTTTTAATAGTATATTTGGTATGAATTTTGGACAACTTAAAAGAACTAAAACAAAAATTCATGTAATATTTAGGAGATGTTTGTGGTGTGCCCTGGAGTATAGTGTTTATTTCGGGCCATCAGTTTTTAGGAGGGATATTGATGAACCTGAGTGCACTTAGAGAAAAACAACCGGGACAGTAAGGGAATTTGAAACTATGCGTTTGAGATTTGGTTGAACACAATGCAAATATTTAGCTTGGTGAAGAGACTTGGAGAAACATTATTTTGCTCTTCCATTGTTTGAAAGGTGACCGTAAGGAAGTAGATTTAACCATACTGTTTGACTAAGGATGACCGAGTTAGGATAAATTGATCAAAGTTAAAGGGAAATAGATTATGGCACAGCTTCAGTAAGGGGGTGCTTCCCATGAATTCTGAAATGGAGCCTAGTGCATTTCCTGTCACTGGCTTTTCATTTTAGGAATACATTCATATTCTCTCTCTCTGTCTCTGTCTCTGTCTCTGTCTCTCTGTCTCTCTCTCTCTCTCTCTCTCTCTCTGTCTCTCTCTCTCTCTCTCTCTGTCTGTCTCTCTCTCTCTCTCTGTCTCTCACTCTTTCTTTCTGTCCTCTCTCTCTCCCCCACCTTTCTTTCCTCTAAAATTTACAAATTCCTTCTCCCCCCCCATTCTGCAATAGGTTTCTTGTAACTCAGTAAAACTAACAGTATAGTGACTTCATCTGATAGTGTATTTAACATTCCACATCTTAAACCACTCTTCTCTATTTTTAAAATGGTTTTTAATTAAAAGAAATTGTTTTCTTTCCCTTCCATCCCATAGAGGAAAAAAAAACCCATCAAATTTGTTGTAACAAATAAGTACAGCCAAGCAAAACCAATTCTGTTATTGACTGTCTACAAAAATATGTCTCATTGTGGGGTGAAGTGACCATTGGGGTTGAGATTATGCTGTGAATCCAGGTTTGCCAGAAATTTCATACGTACTTCTGGCCTTTGTAAACCCTCACCCCTCCACTCCCCCTGCCCCCATCTTTTGTGTGGGTGTCTGGGGGTTGAATGAGAAGTGAACATGACTAGCTGCCCTCTGACCCTGTCCAGGGTTTGTGTATCTGAAAAAAGAAAGTCAAGAGCTGGAGTTTGATTTCTTGCGTCATAGATTCCATTTTGAGTAAGTGGCATCCCCTGAATCTGGTGATG